AATGTGCATCAAATGCCAGATTATAATACACCTATTCACGAGGAGAGCTACGCTGAACTGAATCCAAGGTGTTGGATTCCCAGTTACAGAGTAAAGTGTATTTGTGACAGAAAGCCACGTCTTCTCTCAGTGACAGAGCTGTGCATAAAACAACTTCAATTCAGATGAAATGGCATATTGTATCGTATATTTATATCCATAAACATAATTTTTTGGAATGCATTACCACAGCATGTATTGATTTTTACAAATGGCCAAAATACTTCAAATCCATTCGAAGAGAAGCCGATTTCATCAACGAATGGATGTAATGCAGAGGAATTGGACCACATGAGAAGGTACCTTACATGGAGCAATTCCAAGCTACATCCAGAGGCCTGGAAGTCTGTCATCCTAGCTGCACGCGACACCGAGTGACAGAGGCAGCACACACAGCACACCTGTAAGGCACCAATACTTACTGCCACCGCCAGCCCAAGAAGCACTGATCAAGGTCACTGACACAGGTCAAAATCTATTGGGTGACCTGCCTAGTGCTGTGTTGCCTTTTTCTGAAAAAAGCCAGTTATCAACAGAAGCCATCGCACACACACCCACAAAAGGTCATCAATCTAACAGATGCTTTCTAAATAGGAGGGAGTAGTTGCCCACTTCAATTCCCTTGACAAACCACAGCATATTCTTTAAACCCCCTTCCGAAGATATTCACTCCTGAACCCCAGTTACTCTGTTTTCTCGAGGATGAAATGCCAAACCTTTCTTACTAAGTAAGCCTTCTCATCAACTTAATTAACATAACTGGCAAGGAAATTTGGCTTTAAAATAAATAATAAATAAATAAAAGGGAGAAGGGTTGTGAACGGAGAACTACTCAGTTCTTCCTGCATTCTTGCCCCCTCCTAAAAAGACTAGGTATTAGAGACAAGCTCATGGATAGAGAAAACAGAACAAAACAAACAAGCAAACAACAACAACAACAACAACAACAACAGAATGAATGTCTAGCAGTTTTCTGAGCCTGAGATAATTCACCTTGAAGCTTTCCCTGAAAAAAAAAAAATCCTTTTGACATGACAGAGATGAGCATTTATTAATGTATTACAGCAAACACATCCTGGCAAATCAACAAGGCCCTTCCACTTCAATCAGAGTTGATCTTAATTGGATGGAAAATACCAGCAACTTATCAATGTAGAAGTAAATAAACAAAAGAAGGGGTGATACTAAAATGTATTTCCTCCTAAACATTGTGCACAGATGCCCAAGATATGGAGAGAGGCTTGGAATGCAGCCAGAGGTCTGAGTGTAATTGCTTTGTTCTCAATTAAATCAAGAAAACATAGCAAAAATGCACCTAAGAATAAAGGCAAAGCTTTCTGTGTATACATGACCAATATCTTAGCATGCCAACAATTAACAGTATTATCAAAAGCATAAGTTGTGACATTCTTTACAAAAAGAATTCAGCATCCACCACACATGAATATTTCCCATTATTATTTTTTTTAAAAAAAGATACTGCCATGGATTCTCTAGTAGGAACTCAGTGATATCTCACAGGACATGATTTTATTTGTTAGTTTATAAATAAAAGGTAAGAATGTGTTGCTGACAACACAAAATAACAAAACCTTTTCTTCAAATCCTTTGCACTGTGAGATCGTCACTGGGATCCTGAGGACTATTTCAGACCAGATGCCAGCACATCTGTAGTTAATGCCTATCTCTATTTCCCATCATTTCCAAATTTAGTAGTCAATTTAAGCCTCAATGCATTAGCAAGGATCTCCCTTATTAAAGGGCCAATCCTGTTAGTATCGCACGAGAGGAAAGCCAAATAGCTGAGAATTATTTTCTCAGTTGTTGCTAATATAGATACTGCCAGTACCCCTATAAACAGAATTCAAAAAAGTAAAGCCTGTGTTCACACTTACTGTTCTGTACTTTCCAGGTCAAGATCATCCACATCAGATTAAATTTCCTTATGACGGAGGCAGTATTAAGAATTACCATTTCACCAGTCTGATTATGGAAATACCTACAGCCAAGTTCTAACCACTATGGCTGGAAGCTGAAACTTACAGTATTTCCCTGTGGTCCTTGAAAATAATTTTAGTGTGTTTGAACAGGGATGGGAAGGGGAACACGAGAACAAAAGCACTTCTGCGATTCATGATGAAGGCCTTAGGGCTCTTCAGAACAAAAAACAAAACAAAACAAAAAAACTGCAGAACACAAGTAATATGCCTGCATTATTCAGTTTCTTAAGATACTGTCTTTGCCCGTGGCACCTCTTCTATGTATACAGCCAATAACGTTTTCCTCTCTTGTTTCGTTGATGCTTCTGATCTTCCTATCTTGATACACCCTTCTTTCTTCTCTACTACTATCAGTTACCTCCTAAATACGGCTGCCTCAGGAAAGAAAATGAGAGAAAAATCTCCTGGATCGCTCGCCGCTCTTGCCCTGCACGTCTCCTCCGAAATCAGCGTAGCAGAGCCCTGCAGAAATAACTCCAAATGGCCACGAGAGCTTTTCCAGCGAGGAGCCACACCAGCTTCCAGCTCTCAGCTTACTCGGACTGCATCCACACACACACAAACACACAAACACACACACACACGCTCAGAACCGTCTGCTTCGCTCGCGCTGCGCGACTCAGACACACGAGAAGGAAACTCCTACCTGGTATCGCCCATAGTAACAGGCAGAGAATAGCGAGTCCAAATGCCATGCTGCACCAGGAAGGCAGCGACCACTGCTCTCGCAGCCAGCTGCGTGGAAATCATAGGGCTTTAGCTTCGGTTTCCTCTAATAACGTTTAGTGCCCTGCCATGGCCGTGAAGCACTGCAAGAGACAGCACAGGAGGAGAGAGGTCAGAAGGGAGCGTTAATGAGAAGGGCACAGCAAAAGCAGGCAGGCAGGTTAGACGCAGCCTTCACCGTTACCTCCTGGCTTCTTCGTGATGGATGACAGGGCAAATCAGGCACGAGGAAGATACAGAACAAATCACCTACCCGAAAGCCTCATTCTCTAGACACACGCGCGTGCCTCCCACAGAGCTTTACACCCGGGCTTCTTAACCTCCAAAACCACAAATATCCTGGCCGCAGTTTTCCGGCGGAGCGAGGTTTGGCTGTGGCTGTAGCTGGGATGCAGGAGGCAGCGCGAGC